GTGGCCGAATAGATAGGTTTTATCAACGACGGCTGGCTAAAAAAGCAACCTATCAGTATATAACGACGCGCAGATCATGGCCTCGCTCGCGCCCGCGCCACACAGGTACGGTAGAAGAGAAGTACCTATCGCGTAGCAGAGAGAGAAAGCCAAAGCGCAATAGGTAAGCCCTACGTATGTGAAGCTCGATTTCACATAAACCATGCTACTACTATACCTACCTTATCTAGGTGTGCACACCATACTTTACCAAGCACGGCGGCGGGTTTGTTTAGTGCAGATAGCGAGACAAAAAAAACTGGCGCAACATGCGGTTACAGAAGATACTTGCTTGTATTATTACAAACAATACTTTCGATTTCACTACCTGCCCGATCCGCCTCTTCCAAGGGGAAAAGTTGGTGGTCACTTTGGAAAGAGATATCAAGTAAGTTCGGATACGAAACTTCCGGTATCGACCTCATCGGTCAGTAGTAGGTTTGTTGATACGCTGAAGTTGTGGTTGATGGGAGATCAACAAGCAGAGGAGTACAAGGAGGCCACGGCCCTGTATTTCAGAAGGAATAACTACTCTCTCAACACTCCTTCCTGATGGAGTAATTAAGTCTCCGACATGTGAGCTAGGTAGCACTTGCGCATCCACACTCAGGAATATCTCAATACTTCTCACGCTGAAGTTTCAAGATAGGCAGGTCCCTACTTCTCATCCCGAACTGGCAGATCGCTCTCGACATCCTGGCCCTCGAAAGCAGGCAGCTCCTTCTCCACATCCGCCCACTTCTTCTCACCCTCGACCAGCGCCTTGATTGCCTTCAGGATCGTCTCCTCGTCAGCTCGGACCTGCTTGGTCGAGTCCCGATCTCGCAGCGTGTACGTCTTGTCCTTGACGCTCTGGAAGTCAATGGTGATGCCGAGCGGGGTCCCGAGCTCGTCGTTGCGCGAGTAGCGCTTGCCGATCGAGGCGGAGGAGTCGTCGACGCGGCTGGAGACGCCGAGGGAGCGCAGCTTCAAGGACATGTATTTCAGGAGAGGCTTGAAAGATTCGTGGCTGGAGAGGGGGACCAGGAGGACTTTTGTGGGGGCTACGGGTGGGGGGAAAGAGAGGACCTGGGTAACCTTAGTCTGAATATCAGAGTGAACGGGAAAGTGAACTTACACCACGTGCTTCATCACCGCCGTCGGTGCCACGGGTCCAGTAGTTGTGCTCGATCAGAGAGTAAATAATACGACCAATACCGAACGAAGGCTCGATGACATTCGGTGTAAATTCTCTTGTATTCTCGGTTCGGGTTCGACGTTCAATGACAATCAAATCCTTGCTAATCTCGACCTTTCCATTGCCAACACCTTCAACGTCGATGGTGATCTTGCCATCGAGCTTGAGATCTTGAGCAAGGGCCTCCCGCTTATCTTGTGGGAGAGCCTCTATAGCAGCTTCGACAGTCTTGCCGTCTTTCTTGAAGAATGGACCGAACTTCTTCTTGTCCAAGTCGATCTGCCACTCCTCAATAGTGAGAGGCTCAGCCAAACGCTCACGAACCATTAATGGGGCACCGGTCTTCTTGGCGTGTACTGTCAGATCGTAGGCACTTCTGTCGGCGCAACCAACACACTCAATCCAGCCGTAGCTAGTTAGCAACTCAGCATCCCAGCAATCAGTAGCATAATGAGCCATCTCATTTGCCATATGCTGTCTGAATCTGATCTTGGACTGATCGACACCGATCTTCTCCAAGAACAAATGGATCCGAGCCAAGAAGTAACCTAATGTCTCATTGTCAACGGTACCGTCAGCAACAGCCTTGCCAATCGCAACCTTCTCAACGTGTGTCTTGCCGGAGAGTTGAGTCTCTTTGTTTAAAAGGATAAGCTCAACATCCTTGACCTCATCGAAACGGTGATGCTTCTTGCCACCCTCGGGATCAACGTAATGCTCAATTTCAGCCATCAAGAACTCACGAACACGGAGCAGGCCAGCTCGCGGCGAGATCTCGTTTCTGTAAGACTTGCCCACGGAAGCAGAGGCAAATGGCATTTGTTGTTGATTGAAGTCCAGGAGTTTAGCGAAGTTGAGAAATTGGCCTTGGGCGGTTTCGGGTCGGAGGTAGCCCTGGAGGTTTCCGCTGGGACCGATGGCAGTTTGGAACATAAGGTTGAAGGCCACAGGTGGTGATGGTTCAACACCAGTGGCGGGGTTCTTCATCTCGTATTTTTTGATCAACTCGCCCAATTCCTCGCCACTGTAATTGTCAATCTGTGAGGGTTAGTGGGCGATTCCTGTGTCCCACATACTAGACGTACCTTTGCCAGGATCTCTTCGTACTCTTTCACAACGGCATCGTCCAGTTTGATAGCCTCCGTAGCCCCCTTGACCTTCTTTTTCTTCTTCTTGGGGTCCTCCTCCTTGTCCACAATCTTCACACCACGCGCCTCCTTGTCACCCTTCAGCCGCGACTCGAGAATCTCTTCAACGAAGTGATCTGCTCGGATAATATCACCGTTCTTCGGGTCCTTGCACATCCAATCGGCGAACTTTTCAACATGGCCACTCGTCTTGAGGACCGTCTCGGGGGTCAAGGCCGTGCAGTCCACCTCCAACATATCCTCCTCCAGGACGAAGTGCTTGCGCCATATGTCCATGATGTTTGTGAGAAGCGCACAACCGGGCTATATATTGTTAGTAACAAGGTCTAAGAAATATCAATCTCGCCATTGAGGGGAATCCTTTCATTCCAGCATACTCCTAACCAGGACGGCGCCCCGTTATTCTGCAGAAACGAGGAGGAAAGAATAGAAAAGAATAGAAAGGAGATGAGCGTCATACAGGACCATAATCGTACAGCCCAGCAACACCGCCATATATCTCGAAGGACGGAGTATAGAACATGCGCCGGCGCAGCATGGAGTCCATAGTTTGTCTGTCAAAGGGCTGACCCTTCAGCGTAGTCGTCGCCATGACTGGATCCTTCTGCTTCTGCTGGAACTTGGGCGCCTGGTATTTCTGGAGATTTGCAGTTGCAGTGAAGTCGCGTAGTATCTGCCTATGCTGTCGTACGGGAATCCGTGTCGTGGGTCTCCAGAGTTGAGCAGCAGTTCGTGCGAAGCTGCAGAGGGAGCGCATTCACTTGAGGCACATCCAATGATGGTTGATTGAGTCAACCACTGCTACTATGGATCTTGGGATGGCGGATTGGATTGGATTGGACTGGGCGGGTTTGGAAGGGTGAAGAGGTGGTTTTTCTCGAAAATATAAATGCTATGAGTCTTTGTCGTCCCCAATGCCCCCCTCCTCCAATATTCCGAGCCTGGTGGGCACACGCGGCCGCGTACCCACTTTTCCGGTCCTTCTCTGACTATCCGGCCCAAAAACTTTTGAGCTCGACCTATTTTATCTCGAACTTCATAACCCCCCGCGTCGCATTAAATCGCGCACACAATGGGGTCTAAACGAGTCAAACCCGCCTCTTCAAAGGCCAGCCTGCCCTTCAAAACCAGCAATAAATTCAGACGGCAAGATCTCCACGTCAAGCAGAAAAAAGCCCGCGACAGCGAGCGCCGCGATGAGCGGTTCAAGCGGAAAAGAGAGGAGGACAAGAACCCCGAGTTGAGGGAAGCCCGACTTGCGCAGAATGTGCCCATGACAATCGACAGAAAGCGAGTATGGGACGATGTCGATGGGGACGGATTGAACGTCAGCGTAGACGTCGAGCAACTGAAGAGGCGGCGCATCGAAGAGGCTGAAGCCGCACTGCAAGAACCGGTGGAGGAAGCTATCGAGGACGATGATGATGCGGACAGTATGCTCGACTCAGACTCAGACGCAGATTCGGACGAAGAGAAGGAAGAGCCAGTCAAACAACGGCCGCGCGCATCTTCGACCGCAGCCTCAACGACAAGCACAAATCTCGACCTCACGCCTACTTCTCTCTCCCTCAAATTCCCCACACTGTTCACCGATACGCCTCCTCCCGCCCCAAAGATCCTGCTCACTACCTCCATAAACTCGACTCTCCACCACGAAGCCAACCTCCTGTGCACTCTATTCCCGAACACGAACTACATCCCGCGCTCCGCCCACCGCTTCGGTCACAAATTTTCTCTGCGAGAAATCTCGAAATTCGCCGCAAACAGGAACTATACCTCCGTCATCCTCTTGAAAGAAGACTCAAAAAAGCCTACGGGGTTGACCATCGTGCATCTACCGTCTGGTCCCACCTGCCACTTCAGCATCGCAAACTGGGTCGACGGGAAGAAGCTCCCCGGCCATGGAAACCCTACAAACCACTATCCAGAACTGATCCTGAACAACTTCCGCACCCCGCTCGGTCTCCTCACCGCCCGCCTATTCCTCACGCTCTTCCCCCCTCAGCCCGAGCTGCAAGGCCGACAGGTCGTCACGCTGCACAACCAGCGCGATTACATATTCCTCCGACGGCATCGCTACGTCTTCCGCGAGAAGCGCGAGACGGAAAAGAGCGTCGTGGGACCCGATGGCAAGATCGTGCCGGGCGTCGAGGGTATCAGGGCCGGGCTGCAGGAGCTCGGGCCGCGGTTCACGTTGAAGCTGAGGAGGGTAGATAAGGGTGTCGGGCGGGCGGGCAGCGAGGGTGAAGATGCAGTGCAGTGGCAGTGGAAGGCGCATATGGAGAAGCAGAGAACGAGGTTTAACTTGTAGAGGGACCGATTTTTCACATAGGAGTCAATTTATACCCTCTATTCAACCACATAAAAGCCGGGGGGGGAGGGGGACGAAGTGAAATATCAAAAGAAGAGCTTCGCGCTATCATACCGATCCCCTCATTGTTACAATGAAATAGGGAACCAGTCGTTTCTTCTGAACTTGTCAGCGCACCAACCCACCCACTCACATACTATACAACAGTGTATACTTACTCCATAAAGCAAACCCAAAATCAAAAAGAACTAGGCTCAACCCAACTCAGCTCAACTAGTTATACCGGAAATCCTCGTACGTACGTGTACCTCATAATAGTATGAGTGTGAGTATGAGTATAATGATTAAAGAAGGAAAGCAGAAAGGAATGGAGTAGGCGCAGTACTACAGTACTGTACAATAAACAATTAAGTGATAACCATCCCATCCCATCCCATCCCATCCCATCCCATCCCATCCTCACACCGAAATCCATCCGAACTCCCTTCTCCCAACCCGATACTATACTACCGGTACCGGTATACGTGCAAACCCACACACCCACCTGCATGCAAACTACAAACACCCAAGGTTCCAAAGTTCCAGGGTTCCAAACTTACTGCACCCGCCCTCTTCCTCTTCCTCTGCCTCTTCCTCTTCCTCTTCCTCTTCCTCTTTCCCGTAAAAGCGAACGATATAAATACTATAGATAGATGATGAAACCAACTTAAATCGACTTGGCTACCGGTACTTACCTCGCCTTGTCTTGTCTTGTCTTGTCTTGCATCATTTATTCATCTGTACTTACTGACCTGTGGCAGTCTCGACCTAGCTCACTAAATGGGTGGACAAGTACTACTAGCTCATCATACAACATCATAACAATAAGCCACATCGGAAGGAAATGTATTGGCTATGTTGCGTCTACACCAATATGTTTGGTATCTTTCTCCCGTCTCCTTATACAGCCAGCTAGCTATCAATCCATGTACACACCGCACTACGCTACACCACAACGCTCCCTCCACACCCCTCCTCTCCACTCTAATTCAGAAACAATATAGGTTCCTTCCCTTCTCTAATGAACTGCCCCCAGCCCCAAGATGTATCCGTAAATTTAACCCTATTCCAAACGCCGTCGCTCCCAGAAATTG